CTATATGATACTGTATAAGTAGCATTGTGTAATGAACTTGAACCATTGTGTATTTAACTTGAATCATTGTGCATTTAACTTGAATTTTGCTACAATAAGCTCCGTTTTTAATTATGGGTTGTCTGTAACCCAGGCTTTCTTAACCTGGGGACTACCTTTACAAGAAATTGATTTTAATTGGACATCAGGAAGAAATTCCTATTGGAGGTGCTTAAACATAGTGGCTTTCTGCATTGAGCATGTTGTTGGAACAGATTATCTCCAAGATCCAACCCGTACATTCATATAGCAGTAATATAGAAATAATACAGAAATAATTTTTAAAAACTGTCAATCCGTACCATAATTTTTTTTGTGCCTTTAAAAAGGCATATTGATGATGTCTTAAATAAATGCCGTTCAGGCTTATTTGAAGGTAAGTAGCTATAGAACCATCTGGGATTTCTGGTGAAAATTCAGCTATTCTGAAGTTTATTTTTTGGCTCAGTTACAAAAAAATTGAGTGAGTTTATCCTTAATTTATTCTTCAGCCATTAATTTCCCTTCTCTTGTTCATGCTATCTGAAAGTTAATGTATTATTTTTTAAAATCAAGATGAAAGCCTTGTTGTATATAGATTATCTCTCACTAAATTAGCAGATCTCTCTGTGTAAAACTCCTATATGGAAATCTAAAAACCTGCTATAAGCTAATGTGCCAACAGTGTGCACATCTTCTTTCCATAAGTATTTCCATAACTCATGTGGACTATGAGTCTATGTTTATGCCTGTAATTGTGCAGGTTGAAAGCAATATTATGGGGATTATCCAGTAAGCTCAGTTAAGACTAGTGTGTAAGTTCAGGCCCCAGAAAAACTGGCGTCTGGCACATGAAGAAATTACATAAGTCTTAATTTTCTCCTTAATTTTTTCCCAGCTCTGATTTGGAGTAGTTTTCCATCATGTTTTGGTAGCTGACTTCTAAAACATATTAATCAATTGAGGAATAAAGCATTTATTGGATGCTATAGATAGAAAATTGACCAAAAAAAATAAATGCTTAGACAACCTTTTGCCATTTTTTGTGCTGTTCAACTTAAAGCTGTGATGAGCTCTTAAAAGAAAAAAAGTAATGCTCCTTTTGGTGTCAGAATAGAATATAATGATTACCTTGTTACATGAATCTGGTAATATTTTCCTTTATTCATTTCTTCATTCCCTTAATAGAAAAATATTATTGTTATAGAATAAGTGTATACTTGCAAGGCTATTGGAATGAGAGGAATCGTGCACTCAAATCAGGCATCAGAGCAAGCCAGAGATTCTTGTAGTTTGCCTTTTACTCTCCCCTGAATTTGCATATATGTAAAATGTCTGTGTGTGCAGAAGGTAATACCTTTTCGCTGAAGTATTTACATGCTTTACTGTATTTAGTTATATTTGTGGTACTTTGTAGTCAGAAGACAATTTGCTGCTACTTCACCTTTTCTTAATCTCAAAAACCTGTGGGTACCTACTTTTTCTCCAATTTGATTATATATTTCTTAAATCTACTTACTGAGTAGATGAAAATACATATGGATCAGAGCTATTTGGACAACAGAAAAGGGCAAATTTGGAGGGCCCTGAAAACTATACAGTATCTGGCGTTTAATCTGCAATTATATGAGCTACAACGTTGATTTCAAAGAAAACCTATAATTCTCAGATTTCTTTTAAAAACCCTTCAAATTTGGAGGGCTGTAATTTTTCATTGATGCAATGATTCACTGCTTTAAAACAGAGAAGCAAATACAGAGAGGGGTTGGTGACAACTCAGTAGAATATTAATATTTACCTACTATAAAAATAAAAATTAATGATATAAAATATGTTTGTTTATGGTTTTCAGCAGCTGCAAGAGAAATTGAATGAAATGAATTTTGAACTGAAATCTGTCCAGCACACATCCAAGAAACAGAATCACATAATCCAGAAGTTGAATGAGACGTTGAAGAGCAAAGAAAATGAGGTTTGTAATTCTTTGAAGAATAAATGCTGATACAGATCTAATGACTGAAGAGTAATTTTCTGGCAATTGTGAGTAACAGATGCTTTCCTCTCAGCCTATAATATTATTTGCAAATGGTCAAGTACTTGATTGAAATCACCTCCAATAAATGTGTCAAGGTATAGTGATACTGAAAATACTCTTCGCCCATTTAGAATTGCCACTTGCATATGTTCCCTCTTCCCCAGGGTTTTCATAAAAGTTATTTAGCAAGTGAGATATTACTAGTGTCCTGAAATAAGATAATTTCAGCTGTCATTTGTTGCAGTTTAGATAAGATCTGCCTTCATATATAAGAATGCCTTAATCTTACAAAAGAAACTTCCATGAATAATAATTTTAATACTGTGAACAAGAAATTGAGTTATGGTATAGCAACAATTGCTTTGCAATATATATGTGTGTGTGTGTATGTAAATACATATCACAATAATGCTTTAAATATATATATAAATATATAAAGCATTATTGTGATTATTATAAAAATAATTACAAAATACACTCAGCATTAATTTATATTTTGATTAATATGTTTCAAGGGCACACTAATCTTCATAATCAAACAAGTGGTCAACTATAGAACAAAAGTAAGAATCTGTTGAAATTTGAAATTATTCAGAGCAGAAAATTCTTAATGCATAAAAGTTCAACTTTTGAGCCAACTGTTAAGCTCATATGCTTTTCTACAACCACATGATGTTAATAAATTCATTTTGGCAATAAATAGAAAAAATATGGCAACAAAACAACTTTTCTCAATAGCTGTCTAATTTTTGAAAATGCACAATGATTGTTGACACTTGGTAGTTATTCCATAAAGATAATCATGTGGTTTTTAAGTTTCCTGTTATAATTAACTGTTTTTTATCTTCAAAAGGACATGTGGATTGTAACTTGATGAACTCTTTACATACCTAGCACATTCCTAGGTCCCTAAATATGCAAATATTACTTTGCAGATTTCATACTTTGGTTGTAGAGCCTTATTAGCCATTTACAGTTGTATTATCACTGAACTAGCACCTGTTTCTCTGTTTTCCTGTAGAGGAATTCTTATCCTGGCAGCTTTACTTCTGATATAAACATTTCAAGCTGATAACTGAAATGCTGCTAGTTTCAAGTCCACACTCATGTTTCCCCTTGAAGAGAAACATAACACTGTCATCAGTGTCCTTGAGAAAATGGCAGCAGGAGAGAGAATTTTTTTTTTTTTTTTGCCTGCGCTCAGTCATTACTGACCCTGCAGTGACTGCTTGGACGAGTC